TTAATTTTACCACTTCATCTTTAATTACGTGTTATTCTTGTAAAATTAATTTATTCTATCCGTTTCTACCTTTTAATTGTGTGTATTAATTTTCTTCCTTAATTATCTACCCATTGACATTTTGACACTGGTTAATTATTGTTAGCAAACATATCGCCACGTGTTTGGTAAATTGTTGTGTATTGTAAAAAATGCTATATATGTATATATATTAGAGTAGAGCTATAGAAGAGGATCTAATTGAAAAGTAAATATTTCTTCGCTCAATCTTTCTGTTTTTTCAAATGGTATTAGCGTTAGATTGATATTGCCGCTGATTTGATATTCGATAACCTTCATATACCTAAAATAAGCACATGTAAAGACTGGTACAACTTGAAATTATGGAAGATAATTTTACATATTAGTATTCAAAGTGGATAAACCATCCCTCTTGATACTAAGTAAAATTCCCATGCAAATAAGTGTTTGTAGTCTACAACTGGTTTTATTTTGACGCCGCATGTACAATTAGACCTCATATGTTTTCCAGTGTTGGAGGATTATGCGCAAATTTCAATACAATCTCAACATCCATACTGTTAGGGCATCATCCTCTCACCAAGATTACTTGCAGATCAATATCACACTAATCACGTTTACTTTAAAAGAAGAGTTGCCGATGCATAACTTAGAAATCAATCCACAATCTCAGTAATGTCTAGTGAACACGGTTCTGTAAATCCTACAGAAGTTACATTCTCATATTTAAGAAACTGTAACCATCAAATATAAGCTGGATATGTCTCAAGCGTAAACACCTGTGCAGTGTTAACAACATAGGGGAATATTTGAAATATTATAATGTACATGGACGTATTGTGTTGGTGAACAGTCCATGTGTATAATAGTACTATACACTGAATTAATGCACTAAGTGATACAGTGAAGAAAATTAAACGAGTAATTACCTCGTCCACTGCACTGCACTTGCGACAATCGTGAGAACAACCTACATCTGTTAGCCCAGCAGTCAGCTTAGCAGACAATGGCACAATAATGATAAAGTAGATGTGTATTTTATACATTGAATCTGCATAAGCCATATTTTACTGCACCAATCAGTGCAAATATGTGTTAAATCCACTTACAGATAACCCTTCAACTTACAATAATTCCTGTTCAAACACATCATAACTTCTATTCTCACAGGAGCTTCTGTTAGACTTTGTAGGTGATTTACATGTATTGCTAGGATTCACTTATTGAGCAGTAATGTTCTTCACACGAAAATAGGCTGCATCGATATCCTTCGACGTGAAGTCTTCATTGAATGATCATTTGCCAAAAAGTGCAACTTCTACATAGAGCAGATTATTTCTGTAGATGACATTACCCTCCAACTATCCCATCTTGCTCATTATGGCGATATTTTGACACAGTCGGACTGAAACACTAACCATTGAAACCAATATGCTAAGGGTGTGCTGCAGTCAGATCACACGACGTGGACACCAACATGACTATTCAGAGAATGAGAATTCCTAACAATCCAGAAAACATATAACACAGTTTAAATAAAAATTATTCATAAAATAAATTTACCAAGTAAAATTTCAACCAACGTGACGGATGAACCCAGCCTGTTTTCCTGTGTCACCTTCAGACACGCGAACAACTTGTTTCCATCCCATTCCTGCTCAAGTGCATGGAGCGCCATGTCAGTCAACAGCCCCCACAGAGTCCGTTCGACTCATCTCCACTTCCTTTGGAATATTTGTTGGAAAGTAAGTTGTTGGTCGGTTCGTTTCCAGAGTTTCTCATTCCCAATTCTTTCTGGTCAGCTATGCAATCTTCAGTATGGATTCAGCGGGGAAAGCTATTGATAAAAGTCTAGAATGAACTGTTGAAAATTTATTCGCGAAGTGCCAGGTTTCTTACCCATATTTGGAAGTACTGATTGGCTTAACGTTGGTGTTGAAAATCCAGACTTTGTCATTTATTCTGAGTGCATAAGATTTTCACACTGATCTCGTATGGACGCAGGTTTGTCGTGTCTTTCCGATCCCTGTTTTGACAAGCCCATCTGTGCCAGCTGCATGTGGTTGAAAGGGTGCTGCCTAGATAAGTGAAGGAAGTAACCCCTTTTAAATTTATCCTGTTGGAAGTGATCGGTACCTGTCATTGATCGGTTATCTTCATAACCTCCGTCTTCCCTATGTGCATTTGACGTCCTGTCTCTCCCGAACACTTCTTCTGCCATTTTGTTTTTTCCGCCTTCAAGTCTTCGCATTTATGCAACGCCTCGCTGAGTTTTCCATCGTGGATCACCTGAAATTCGGCACTGTCATGTAGCTAGCCGTTGAATGAGGTTGAAAAAGACATGGGCACCGGACACCATGGTATTAAAGTAGTTTCCAAATTACTTCACTGCCAATGCTGCTGAAAGCCTTTTAGAAGCCTACCACACTGAGACAGCGACTTGAGCATTGTTTTGCTCTCTGCTCGATGATGATTCGTCGCTGTTTGATCCACGCATGCAGACTTCTGCTCAATGTGTGCAGTTGCTTACTCTGAATACACTTATACAAATTGTTATGTCTTCTGTCGACCACAAGGATTGAGACTCCAATGAATCGGAAGCTTGCTCTAATAGGCAAACGCATTGGTTCTCCATTCAGTTTTCACTCACAGTGTCAATCTTCCATACAACCTTCAGTTCCTCTTCTCCACCTGTCAATACGAAATCGTTCAAAATTCAACGGTGCTCAGAGCATAACTTCGAATACTAGCAAGTTCTACCTTCAAGAAACACATTCGGCGTCCAGAACCAAGACGCGTAATGGCCGAACAGAGTGATGGGTGGATAGCAGAAACTACAACTCAAACAAATTAAGTCCTGTATAGCCAATAATTCAACTATGAACTAATAGCTTATTTGAAGTTTACTTGCAAACTAATGTAAGAAACCATGAATCATATATAGGAGCAGGATGTCCACAGTTGATGTGGCTTTCAAGCATAGAACTACCGATATTTTTCCATCTTCCAATGGCTGGCAACGCTGTAAAACCCTCTAAAGTACATTAGCAGGACTGACTATGCACACGGCATGGGTACTTGGCTGCATGAATTCGGATAATCACCTGTATTCAAATTCCGTTTAGATTTTAACATAGTTTGAGATAAAACATTACTATACTGGGTACTTGATATCTGTCATACTTACAAATGAAAGTACATTTACAGAAAAACTTATTACAGGCCATCGAATTTAGAGCGCATTCTTTATGCAGTTCTGGTACCCATTCTCGTACGAGCTTTCAGTGGATACTACAACCACTTATAGCTCATTTGATGTATCTCCAGTTCCGAAAGACTGTAAGTTATACAATTTATGTCATTTTTGGAGGCATTTGTGACAACAAGGTGGTGCGTTGTACAAATGAATATTTCTGAGTAAGCTACTCGTAGCTCCGCGTTACACGGTGGATATATCTAAATGACCTGATCCGATCACAGAGCAAACTCCATGTAATGTTTCGTTTTGGCTCTACACAAGTGAGTAACAGATAATGATATTTTTCCCTTCCATAAAACCAAGATAGGCCACGTCGATATGCATCTACAGTTTGGAAGACCTTCTTGACGTTTTTAATCACCTACAGAAAATGCCTCATTAGAAATGGAAAAATGTTATATATTCAGATGTCTGATACAGTCAGTCAACAAACTGCAGTAAGAATAGATTCATCAACCACACCTGAGATGATTTGCCTGGATGAATGGTCTCATCGTAAGACTCAACAGTCAGTTAATTTCAAACTACAGTGGATACCAGCTGGAGATATGGATAGATGTTTACGGATCCATGCAATTCCCGTGAATGCTTTAAAAAATATCCAGGATCTAAACTAACACCACTGTAATCCCGCAGTTATTAGACTTTAATGAAAGGCAACTATACTTGGGTTTTACAGACGATTTTAACAGGAAGGATAAAGACTCAAATTTTATACTATTAATTTCAGTAAGTGTTATTGGAAACACTTATATAATTAGTGAGTGGCACAGTGTTTCGTGTATGTCACCCCCTAGCAAAAAATATCTATTTGCTTCTATAGAATGTACATCCTGACACCACTCCTTACCCTTTTGTTTGAAATGCTCTTCAAATTTCTGCGGCGGGTAAGTTGGTTTGGCACACTTTTTGGGTGTTTGTTTTTTAGGTATTATGCCCTTATTTTGAGTTTATATTAGTTCCTTATATAAGTTCAACTTAAATCCTAAAGTGCTCAATTTGGGTTTTTAAAGGCGTTTTCTGAAATGGTGGGGTTCTCTTGTAAAGTCACATCGAGTATAATTGTTTTTCTTTTGCATCAGTTAAATGTTTTCTGTAACTTTAAGGGACTTTTTAAGGCGTAATGTGTATTGGGGATACTGACCTCATAACTTTTTTAATATCTTCCGTAAGTTTTTAGCACATGTCAAACCATGCAGTCATAGGGGATTCAAAAGAACAGTCTTTTTTTATCTCGTATGAATTGTAAGGTGTTCTTACCTACTTATCCTGTCCTATCAAGGAAGTTTAATGAATTCGTCATTGCCTGTGACTTCTTTCTTTATAATAGTATGTGATTTTTTGTCTCCAAATCTTACCACTCTTCACTTGGTGCGACAACTAATGAATATAGATGTCACCTATATAGAAGTTACTAAACAACGTGTTTCTTTAGCTTGTCATGTATATCTTCACTTCAAAATCAGTGGCGCTTGCATGTAGCTGTGATAGGTTATGGAGAGTTGTCCGTTTGGGGTGACCAATGGATGTGATTCTAATCAACTTTAGCTACTTATAGATTGACTTTCCACGGGGCAGTGGTTGTCTTAGAGTAAACAGATATTGTCCTGCCGAAAAAATACAGTTTTCCGAACACCATACGCACCATGGTACACATGGTACCCGATTCGCCTGTCGGATGTAAGGTGATGCTGCAGAGCTACTCTACAGTTTTGTGATGAGCAGTTAAGTGGTCGAGGATTGTTGACCGTTTTGTCTATTTTGGAAGTTGCATCGGCCCTAATAGAGACCAATCAGTAGGCATGAGCAACAATCATTAGATAGGACGCTGCCTTCTCTAATACAGGCTTCCTAGTTTGTTATATCTACAAAGTGCATGTAATGTAGCTTGAATTAGAATTTAGTTTGCCACTGGAATTGATTTAGCTCACAATATGTTTTTTCTCACATTTCTTAGTATTGCAAGGAATAGATTTTTGCGACCAAGATAAGTGTAACACTACTTATCGTCGGTATTTTATTCTATTTTCACTGCAACTCTTTCACATCACATCCTCAAAAGAATGTTTATCATCGTTGCCTAATATATATATATGTAGTGAATTTCGGAACAAGGCAGTGAACCAACGTGATCTTTATCGGCGTTATCAGACATTTTACTTTTCAAGTGATGAATAATCGCTTCCTTGGACTTGTATAACAGCTTCCGGTGAATTCGTAGTATACGCCTCTAATAAAACTTTTCTTCATTTCTCTCGTGGAAACTGTCTTACCTCTTTAGGCTGTGAACATATGGCTTTATGTGGTTAAAGTATTCACTCCCTTCAGAAAGACAGATTAAATCATAACTTTATCCAAAAGTAAAAGGCTGTTTGTAGCACTTCCGAAAATATAACAGGTAGTTATCTAACAAAGTATACTGACATAAGACGATGATCGATGTGTATCTTGGTTCCACCCATGCGGTAGTCACTTCATTATTCCGCATCTTTGGAATAAACAGTGGTTGTGTTAGATTAAGTGCAGTTCTACGAGTACGATCCACGTAATTACATATTTCGGTGCTATCTAGTACATTTTGTATTTAAACTACATTGAGTTTCTTGTCATTGCAATCATACGTACAGAAAAATGCGTGCTTATTGTAAGATAGTGTATAGAGTATGGTTTTTAAATGCTATCTTCTATGCGGATTTTAACGCTCAGCTTAATATATTTCACTTAAAGCCGGCCACGAAGAAATACATTCTCCAAAGAGCAATGTCTATTTCAAAGTTTCTATGTGTAAGCTGAGAAACGTTAACTAGGGTTTGTTTACAAACAATAAAATTTAGCGCAACAACATAACAATGATGATGCTAGTTGGATTATTTCCAGCTAAAGATGTCTGTTAAAATCGGTTCACACTCAAAAAAGTACTCAAAAATTGATTCTCTTTGGTATTCGATAAGTCATAGTAAATTTGTATAAGGCTTGGATCAAAGCGCAACCAGGAAATAAGAATTCTTTATTATGTGTCATGCAGCATAATTGATTTGATAAAAATAATAGTATACAACCGTGCACAATACCATTAAATAAACATTTTCTTTCAATAAGAATAGGTTTTCTTGTTTTAGTCTCCATAAGTTTGAACAAGAAGTTACGTCGATTTTGTTTATCGGACTATACTCTTTAACCCTACCAGAATACATCTTCAGATATTTCCTCTGTTCTTTTTCCTGCCACTTACCGCAGTTATTTGCCTCAATGTTTTACAGGAAATGTTTGTTTCGTATTAATTATGGCAAAAATAACCAACCGTAAATCACCAAAACATATCCATTCTTCACTGGAGTGGAATCTCCAGAACAGTGATCCTAGCTGTATTAACGATCCCTACTGGTCTTGGTCAGATGACCATAGATATCAGATAGCCAATATTGCTCAAGACAATCAGGTTAAAGTTGTGGTGTCTGTGGAACAAACGCTATACGATGTTGCTGAATTGTTGGAAAGACAGTTAGGTATTAGTCTTTCTGGATGCCAATTTTATCTTCAAGATCGTATCAAGGTAATTACTCCTTTTTTTTAAGTTATCATGTTGTGTAGCTTCGTGGAGAGTCTCCACTAGTTGAACATTGTGTAGAAATATCTGGATTAGTTCAACTATTGCTTGAGGTTAAAACAGCGAATGCTGGTTATCCTTTCCGAATCAACGTGGTTGACATTCAAATACCGGAATTAGTTGGTCCTAATGCTTCAAACCCCAATATGTCGATTGATAAAAGCAAGCGTCCAAGTATCTCAAAGGGATCAGGACAACAAGTAAGTTTTTTCTTTTTGATGCACCTTTATTCCTTGTTAAGAATTGCAATTATGATAAAATTTTTGTTAAACGATAGTTTTATGACTTGATCTGTATTAAACGAGATTGTAATGTCACACTTTGCCACTTCCTTTCATTAGAACTTCATTAAGTAAAAAATTAGTGCTTTGACTATTACCTCATCGTTTTTCAGTTAACTTGGATGGAAAATTTTTGTGTGTTTGGTAGGGCCAGTGTAACAAAATTAGTACATTACGAGCTTTGCTACCGAATTTATATAAAAATAACTCTATAAGTATGTTGATAGAATGGTTTTAGTATCTTCTGGTAGTTTAGTTTTGTATTCTTTTCCAAGATTTTCTTAATTACCAGGTTATGTCTCATTTAGGCTGTGGAAATGTGAATGATGATATAATCCTCGTGAACTTTCATTTTTCAAATACACTCTTTGTGTATATTGTTTCCCGAGAAATTTACTAGTATTCTCATTCTCTGAATAAATGGTTTTGTGTGCATAAATTCACTTTCTACAAAAACTCAGTTTTCATGAAAGTGTTAGCAGTAGGGGATTTGACAGATTCTTCAAACTTGCGAGTTGATTGACACAATCTTCATACCCTAATTGGTGGATCACCATTCTTTTGCTTAAACTATGGGAAAAGTCACGTTTCTATTTGATATATTATTATTAATATTTTGCTGAAGCGATTTACTTTCCTATGTCCAACTTCCACTTTGCCCTTCGTTTTCTCCAGGCATCTAATACAAACACAACAAAAAATGAGGAAGGCAGAAGTGAAAACACTCAGTTATCAAATACTCAACGACCGTCAAGTCCGAAAGCAGAATGCATATCCCCGCTTACAGTCGCTGCGGCTTTAGCCGCAGCTTCTGATATTGCTGCGGGGGGGTCGGGTCTATTGGAGTCAGCGGTGAGTGAAAATGGTATGAAATCGGAGGAAGATGTCCCAGAATCGTACAACATGACGGAATCAATTTCGTCAAGTTGTGGTTATTTAACATCTGAGATTGAAAGTGGAAGTACAGCAGGCACTTATGATTTAGAGAATCTATCAAAATGGGTTCCAGATAACCACTACAGTCGATTGATGGAAATGAATGATATTCCACGCGATCCTATCGACTGGAATTCCACCCAGGTAGGTGCATTCTTCATGTTATTTCGTCCTGATTTCTCGCATTCTGTTGTTAGTTGAACGATTTGAGAATGTATGTTTTACATTGATGTGATTAGAAAGTTCCATAAAATGCTAGTGTTTTGTGTTTGACAGGATAGAGTGTGGCTTGAATAGTTTGTCACTGTATCTGAAGAATAAATGAGTCGCATCATCGAGTTTATTTGAACATAAGTGTGAATAAATGTTGGCGAGAATGAGCAGACTTTAGCATGTTAGCAAAGTTGACAAGAGCTCCTTGTTGGTGGTATAAATCGGGTTAAAGGCATCGAGTGGATACAAGGTTTACTGACTGAGGATGTCAGACAGGTTGGTATGACATTAAGATGCATTGCAATAGTTGTGTCTTAATTCTAGTCGACTCATCGTTGCATGTCACTTGAATGCTTCATCCTGTCATGTGATTTAATTTGTCTACAGATAGGTGTGTTTATCCTCCTCACAAGTGGTACTGAGGTCACACACACACACACACACACGAGTGTGAGTGATTATGAGTGAAGTATTATTTGGACAGATATAATCCTAGTGTTTTTGAATAGCCCAGCAACATGTGTTACACTGTCTACCGTTTTAAAACTCGGTCTGTTTGTAAGGTGTAAGCTTAAGCTAATGTCAAAAATGTTTGATGAGTCACTTGTACATATACATTTGGGAGCAAATAAATATTGAATACAGTAAGCTGCTAGTGATGCGTGTCCACGTAAAAATGACTATCATATGGCAGTTGTAGTTGGCAGGACAAATATGATTTTGGGCAATTGTCATGCTAGTTGCCTGCTGGTATGCCCACCCCTGTTTGCTGCATCTTTTGAAGGAGTTGAAAATGTCTGCATGATGCTGTGTATGAAATATGTCAAGATGATCTTAGTTAATTAGATATCCGTGTTTCTATGCATACCGCCAATTTCTGTGTTAAACTGGTCGTTGAGACAGTTGATTATGTGAATAAGTTTGAAATTTGTGGTGTTCGGAAAAACGGTGTACGCATAGGTTTCTGAATGTGAGAAGTGATCATATGCTGTTTATTGATGCACTTGTGTTTTGTATTTTTCAAATCCATTAAGCGTTGACTTTTTATCTTCAAAGACTCGTGTCGGTCGTAGATGTTATGCTGAGGGAAGTTGTCATGTTTTATAGCTAACCCTCTTGAGGCTTTGTGCTTGTGTCGCTTCATTTGTAGCGAACGGTTAAAATGGAATCAATCCTAATGCCTACTTGCCTGCATGGAACTGAGAAAGAGATTTTGCTGCCAGTATTGGAACTGTGAACGGTGTGGTATTATTAAGCAGTGGTTGTCAGTGTAACCTCATCATGCCATTTTTGTTTATTTATATTTCAGGTTATCATGTGGATAAATTGGGCGTGTAAACAATTTCGAATTGAAGGTCTGAAAAGTGAAAAGTTGTTCAACATGCCAGGTTCTAGTATGTTTATATTAACAGCAGATGACTGGCGACGTCTGGTCCCCAATGCTAATGTGAATTTTCTAACCCACTTGGAATTACTGAAACGATGTCGAAATGTTTGTAAGTGTAGTTTATTAGTCCCCTCTGTTCTATGATATATTCGATGATTTTGTGTATTAAATGTTTGTGTGAGAATATACTAACTAGACTATGGTTAGGTCGTTTAGCTTGTAGACTGCAAATTAGTTCGATAAATAATGGGTGTTTCTACGCAATTTCATTTTCCTATGTTAATTACCTTAGAATGTTGACGATGTTTGTGACTGGCGGCTGTTGACGACATATTGTTGAAGATCGTTTTCAATCCCTACGAATTCACAGATTAGTAATTTAGTTTTCCCCTCCGACATTTATGTGTGTTTCATGAAGTGTATTAACTTGAATTACTGTTACACTCTTTTATGCAGTGTTCAGTGTCAAAACTTCAGTTTACTCTTCAGTTCAGGTTACATGTTTGTGTATTAATTTATTGGTGGGACATATTGTAGGATTATTTTTGTCCTACAGATTTAGTCCTTCCTCAATGCTGACGACACAGAGTCTGGGCTTAACTATAGTTAAAACAGAATGACTTGACTTTAACTTTATCTGTTTCGAACAGTATTGAAGGTACGGACAAAAATGAACAGTCAATTAATTACATGTATACAAAAATAGAGTGACAGACAAAAAAGAACATTCAAGGTCATCACGTGGTGAGAGTTACAATAAATTGACCAATAATCGCAACAAGGTCACATCATATTGATTAACTGTCTATCATATAGTCTATCTATCTGTCGCGATTAACACATATGATGTGATGAATATTTGCAGAAGAGAACGGGTTATTTTAACTATTTGTTTATGTTGACTTTGTTGAGTAGTGCATATTGTGCATTCCAGTTGACATTAGTTACTCACAAGCCATCCACTTTTGTTACTTCAGGTGTTCCTTATAATCCACAACCGCCACAACAAACCACGAACCAATCACAAAAGCTGTATAGACAGGTGTCACGGGCTCGTGTACGCAGCTCAAGAAATTTAACTGAATCCAATCAGAGTAGGAATTTCAATGGAAGTAAGTGATTAAATTTGTAGATTTTTTGTTTTTCTGTCTGTTGTACAAGTCAATCGATGACATAAGTTGTTGAAGTAGAATGTTGGGACATTTAATCTAATATGTTGTTATAGAGTAGCGGCATGCCTTACACGGTCAGCCCACAAGTTATCCATCAGTCATGTTTTATAGTCCGGTTGAATTCCTTACTTAGAATTTAGGATAGATAATACTGATGAAAGTAATGAATATTAGATGGTTGGAGGCAGTTAGCAGAAAGTCCGAGCCGAGCTAGGTTTTGCGCTAGCTGGCACTGACCGATCAGTCAGCAAGGCGTATCTGCGACCGTGAAGGAACTCATGTCCCTTGTGGGATTCGAACTGGCGTCACCCAGTAGTGCGTGCTGCAGTTAGAGACGTTACCACTGAGCACCTAGCTATTCGTTCTTGTGATTGACCTCCTGTAGGACTGCATTGGGTATTTTTGATTGGACACTAGTCAGTAACTGGTGTAATATGTCAAGTCCTATCTCTGATGCAGACTAACTTCTATCAGCCAAATTTTGGTAGATTGTGTCAGCTAAAAATAGTGAGGAATACTTGTAGGTCATACGGAAATGTTAAATTTTTTATTTTGTTATGTGACCTGGATGGTTCAATTGCGAAGCTTTCATTTTCTTTCTAGATATTATCACCAACGATAACTTCAATGGGAAAAGAGCTTTGGGAAATAATTCTTAGGGGATAAAATATTTATCTCCTGGTGATATTTGTTGTGTGACTTCATCCATACACTCGTATTTTTGTTGATCGATCCTCTCATTGATATCTTGCGTCTGAGATACTAGTTGCGCGAGGAGGTTGACTTATATGCACATGTGTATCAGTTGCAAATTGATTACAGTAACAGGTGTATAGGAGTTGTATGGTGTTCTTTGTGTTTCCTGTGTTTAAGTTGGTGAATTAATATGACCGAATGCATGCAGTGCCATTTCATTGGTAGTTTACGATGATGGTTACATCCCTATCGTTGCTGAGGGACACTGATGGTATCCAGTTGACAGGGGATAAAACCAAAAACTCTTCATACTTGTGTGAAATGAGATATCTGCAGTTCGATGAGTTAAGTACTTAGGGATATTAGATGAAAATGCAGAGTAGGGAAAATAACACAAACAAATGATTCTATTTCTTACGAATTTGACCACGGATTGATATCAGTTAGAGAACCATTGAAAACCAGAGAGTACTGGACAGCTACTGTTTCATCCTAGTTCAGGAATCCTCCGCAGTACACATCCACTGGGGTTCGAACCCAGGACCTTCCGGTTACAAGGCAAGCTCGTACACCATTCAGCCACTGGGACCCTATTCAGTAGCCCTGGTTTTTCAATGGTCCTCTAACTGATATATCAGTCTGTGGTCAAACTCTTAAAAACAAATCTAATCCTTACAAACCAACTCTTGAAAATAATTCTATGTTAGATAAGTTGGTTTATTTCAAATATCACACAGTGATGCAGTATTATTAACTGGATGACGTTTCGAGCATAAATTTATGCTGTGATATGATTTTCATCATGAGCTGACATTGGTTAGGGAACCATTGGAGAACCTGGGAGTACTGGACAGCTGTTTCGTCCTAGTTTGGGACTCTTCATCAGTACTCACCCGCCGGGATTCGAGCCCAGGGCCTTCTGGTTATGAGGCGAGGTCGTATACCATTAAGCCACTGGGACCCGATCCAATGGTCCATGAATTCTAACTTCTGCCAATTCACGACATAGCGCGACCCCTAGCCAATGTCTTCGGCGAGTATTTGTCCTCACGCCCGACCTGCTACACCCTACTGGTCACGACTTCTCACTAAAACCCTAGGCAACTACCTACCTGAATAGGGCAAGTCACTAGTGAGCATCTCATTGGTATTATGCTGTGATATTTGAAATAAACTTATCTAATATTGAACTACATTTTACCGCATTACCCGAGTTGTACACTACTTACATTAAAGAAGCATAATAGACAGAACACTAATCAGTTTTACAATTTTTTAAAAATTATTATAGATTCAGGGTAATTAGCATTTCTCTTATGTAAGTGCACGCTTAAATCTTGCTCGCTTGTCTACAGGATGATTTGTGAGAGTCTTATCGAGTTATCAGTAGCCTTCTTCACTTTTCAATATGTCAGAGTGTTGCATTTCTTCTCTAATTGTCATGTTCTAGTGAGCTTTTCTTCATTCGATGGAGTTTAAGCATTGGTCAACACGTGTGTAGGTAACTGGTTATAAGAGATCGATTGAGGTGTGGTGTATAAGCTTATTGACTTTTAACTAATGATGAGTGTGAAATTGGAATTCAGTTCTGTATAGTGTGTGCCTTTGACAAATCGATCACATCAGGTGTAACTCATTGTTTAGGACCTTAACGCACATAATATAGAGTAACTCCGAAAATATTACGTGTCGCCTCAGAGTTTAGTATGTAGAGAGAAGCTTGTAATTGGTTTGCTTGTACATTGTCATATGATTCTTAAGTGAATGTTATGTACCATATTAGATGTTTCGTTGTTTTTTTTGTGCTCACTTTAGCAGGTATTCCCTATTCATCACCATATTCTGGCGCCATAACTGCTTACGATAGAAATAATACGAATTTACGGATAGTAAATTCGAAGCCAACCTTTTTATCGTATAATGATTCAAATACGCCTGGAAGAAGAACAGTGACGTTGCGATCATTTCTGAGTAGTGAAAATTGTATAAACCGAAATCCAGCCAATTATGAGACAATGAATAATGGTTTGTATGAAATACGTTCATCATCGAATGGTGTTAGTAGTGTGGGTGCTGGTGGGAGTCAGTTGATACGCGTAAGAAGTTGTTTTCTTGATTTGTATTTGTTTGTTTTGAGTACTGAATTGTTTTATTTGGAAAGCTTTCACGCATTTCATTTTGGATAATTGTGGGGAGAGGAATGGTGATGTTATTCTTTCCTGGTTAACTCCTGCTTCATGTGAATATTTTCACAGGATTGATTACCACACAAACTTTATCGTTCGTACAAGTGAATTGTTTGTGAATAGCTTTATTGATCCCCTATTACGAAAACGTCAGTTTAGGTCTTTAAATGATAACATTACAGTGGATTTTGAACGTCGACTGCTTGGTATTATGGACACACAGAATTGTCACTCAGGGATTTCAGAGATTACCTCAACGTCCCTGAACCTGTCTTGATTGAGATGATTAAGTTTATGTGGCGAGTTTATGCATCGTTTTCCACTAGTCAACAGATTTTCATCAGATTTATTATAGACGGCCGATAGGATGGGTTTCCCATTGAACGGTTGTTTGACTTCAAAGTGCAAACCTTCTTAATTGTAAATAACGAAGAATTATTTATTTTTACAAAGTTACCAGTTTGGTGCAGTGTTGTATAGGCACGGTGAAATCTGCTGCACAATTAATGGATCTTATGCTGTAAGTGTGAATCGGATAACTTGGTGGATACAGAAAGGAGAATATAGACAATTTTGAGTGCAGAGACAGGGAGAGGGAGAGCGAATCAGTCTCATCAAAAATATTATTTATAATGTGAAAGCAAGCTGTAGCGTGATGACTGTCTGATAACGTGTGGAGTTAGTGAATATGATTATGTTATAGGTGGTATCTATATATATGCGTACAGATGTCATACAGTAACCAGTCATTTCTTAGTTTCCGCACATCTTGAGATGTTAGGTTACTGGCTTAAGCCCTCAGCTTCGTGTCTGTAGCTCCCAGGTTCAAGTCCCCTCCAACCTATTTCAGCCTAAGAAATTGGGTGATATCACTGGCGTGTTCATATGATAAGTGTGGCTCATGGTCTGAAGGAACAAAGATCTGTTCCAGGAATTGAGTTCAAACCTCACATAGATTTGAGGGTTAAAAGAGGGCAGTGAAGACTACTGAACTCAGTCAGAATAGCAGCATCCACACAGCGATGTACACGCTACTACGGAAATGAGTGCTTTAACATGTGTTAGTGACTAACTTTACGAGTTATGTTGTCTGCTAAGGCGAACTGTGAGATACATCAGCCTAAATGATCAGAGGATCTGTTTTGTATTAATTTGATCCAATCTGAATAAATAATGCAAATGGGGTAGTAAGTTACTATGACTTCATGTTGAAGGCTTTGTTTTGTAATAGCAAATGATAAATATTCTATTCAACTGTAGTAAGTTGAATGGGTGAGTGAGTGAGCGCAGTACCTCATGCTCGCTGATCAGTTGGCAATTGAAAGTTGATAAATTTTCACTTCTTCGTTACTTTCGATCAATGAATTTTTTATTTTTTTCATAGGGTCCATTTATATTAACTCAAAATAATGGTGGTAATTCTATCTCACAAAGAATTCTAAATTACCCATCGTTTTCTGAATTCGACGCCAGCACTGCAGGACAGGTTCAACTGTGGCAATTCCTCCTAGAATTACTTACAGACTGGAGATATCGTGAAGCTATCCACTGGATCAGTGATGATGGCGAATTCAAATTAAGTAATCCAGAAGAAGTTGCTTCTATGTGGGGTCATCGTAAGAATAAACCTGCTATGAATTATGAGAAATTATCTCGTGCATTACGTTACTATTATGATGGTGATATGATTTCAAAGGTATGTGATTTTCATAGATTTGCTTTCACTTATATATGCCATGTATCTTGTTAAGAGATTTTTCGTTTACGTGTAACACATTTGTTTGGTAATCTATGGTATGTATTCACGTGTGCATTTATTACTGAAGGGATATAAAGATAGATTTATTCGACTTTTGGTATTAAATACCAATTTCAGTTAAACATATATAGTCATGCTATATCATATTTATTTACGTATGATATAGTTACTACTACTGCAAGAGCACAAACTTCGTACATTATGGGCATTAAGAGAGATGCGCCACCCAAAGTATCATGCTTTTTGTTCGCGAGAGTTAAGATACGTCCCGGACTGCCAGACGGAAGTAGGTAGGCAGTTGTCTTAAGGAGCGATCGCCTGAGCTTTCGAGTTTACGCCCAATTATCAAGGTAGTGAAGCGGCGTTAGAAGCTACTTTTCCACGGTTGGCGGTGACCTAAATAGGTGCATATACCATTCGATCCTTTTGAATTCTTGAGGCCCATGTACACTACAGGTTTAGAACCAGGATTTTCCAATTGCCCTAGGCGGTCATCCACATCCTTCAGTCCTCCAGACTTTCACATTCACCCTTTCACTTTTGAGAGGAACATCTCCACCTCATATTTACATTTGATATTGTAATGCTCAGTGTCCTAAACATAACGGATAAGATTTTGAAATCTATTTCAATGTCTGATGTAACTAGATTGTCTTTCTTCCACAAACCTTAGGATAAAGTATGCTGTGTGAGAGTGTGAAGACGGTATGAAATGCATTATCTGTATAAAGCAGCTTTCTCTTGGTTTGACTCAATAATTCGATTCTTAATTGTATTCTTATCTCAAAAGTAAAGCGATCTTTGACCTACTGAACCGCGCCTCAATGTGAGAGGATTACGTTTTTTCTCATCTTGTAGAATATTTATCCTTTGGATTGTTTACTAGATTAGATTTCAGTGAAGTGAATAAGAATTCCTGGAATAAATGTTTGCTAAACATGATGTGTAATGCTCAGATTCTAAGTGACTTTATAGACAGATATTCATAGAAAAATTTAAAAAAAAAAAACTATTTCAGTGAAGAAGATCTTCTCGACAAAGTCATCATCAACTAGACTGTATTTTCGTTTTCATATAGTCAAGAGATGAGAAATTTCCAAAAAATATTTCCGATTACGGATCAAATTATTAGCGTATAACAAGATTACAAGTGGGGATTAAAAGCGTGATACTTAGAGGAATAAACAGCGACTTCAAACGAAAAAGCAAAAGTGGGTAATAATTATTGCGGAAACAACTGTTTGTAGTGGCTATGGTATGAACAAAGTTTTTAGACGTACTCCTTTGGAATACAGAGCGTTGGCTTGCATTTTTGGGTCTCTAGTGCCTCAGCTATGCTCAAATATCATGCATGACCTCATTTCCTTTGAGTAGTAGTTCAACCAGATCTTGTGTAGAACTTTGAAGGACTTCTCAAATAGAGCCTGAGAATTTCTGCTCGATTATTAACTTTAATTCAAGCACTTGACCGTGTTAACTTGCATGATAGTGAGTTGTTTGAATTACTTGTTAAATTTGCTTATTATTTTCTCATTGTAGGTTCATGGAAAACGTTTTGTTTACAAATTTATCTGTGATTTAAAAACTCTTTTGGGTTTCTCAGCTGGTGAGCTGTATGTGTTAGTGAGGAATTGTGCCGATAAGCATTCGTATGGTAACAAAAAGCAGCGTCTAACTTCATCAGAATTTTATTCAGGAATTAGTCATAACCGACTCTCCCTTTATCGTGGTGAAGATGAGGGTTTGGTACCAGTACGCGTAGAACAGGGCCATCGTGTTAGTTTTTTAGACCCATCAATGCAGCACCAGAATGTGGATTCGCAATACTGGCCAGATGCAACATCTTCAGATCCCCTTTCTTACAATGTCCCATTTTCACCTAATTATCGTATAAGACAATCAAATAAGGCTGAAAACGAAAGGCATAATCGATCGTCAGAAACGACAATGTCCAGTGATCCGTCAATTCGTGAAAGACGCATACAACGAAAACGAAGTGCTGCGGATGTAGAGTTACAGGTGAATACTGCGACAGATGTTGACAACATTATCATCGATGAGGGTTGTATTTACCAAAATGCTTGTGACAATATAGAAGATCCAGAAAATGATGATTCACAAGCCTGTAGGAGTGCTTGGCGTTCACGGCGTCGTGGGTGGTGGTCTCGTAATCCTTTGTCGGGTATTTCACCACTTGCTTCTCCTCCTTATTCATCTCCTCCATTCAATGAACGTTTATCGTCAAGCATTATACAACAACAGGATGACAGTAATGATCGGTTTAATGAATGTCTAGTAGATCCAAATACCCAGTTTAATCATTCTAATTTTCCAGTTGATGAAGATTGGGTAGCAGCTACCGCTTTAACAGAAGATATGGTGAACGGTGGATCACCTCTTAACTCCTCTTCCTCTTCCTCCTCCTCTCATTTAATCACCAGTCCATTTCGATCGAGCAGAACATGTTCTTCTGTACCACAGTCTTCCACTTCCACTTCTGCTAGTGTCACTGTTAGTGGTTATGATGAAGGTGAAATACTTTCAGCAGCTGCATCTTTATTCAGTCAAACAGGTCAATCGGAAACAGACGACTCATGTTTATTAGGTGATCATGTCAATGCTGCAACAAAACCGAAAAATCGGAAAATGTCTTCATTTCCCATTGGTGATTATCGTTGTGATGTTAAATTGAAGGTGAAGAAGGAAGAAGAAGAAGAAGACGATGACGAAGCGGAAGTAGAGCACGTAAAGCTAGAGAATGATTTGTTTATTGGTGATGTGGCGGTGGAATTTGATCGTCCACTGAGCAGCAGTAGTAAATCAGTGTCTAATCGTCGATCATCTATCCGCTCATATGATGCTAGTGGTCCTGTTTTACTGTCTACCTACAATCAAGCCATTAATATTGATGCGTTTTTAGCGCATTGAATACATTGACAAATGCACAGTGTTGTACTGAGTTGTTGTTCATTGACTCCTGTCCGCCTCAAAAGCCATCTCATCTCATCCCACTCCAACCCTAACAACCCCCGCCGTGCCCGACAATAAAAAAACACTACCTGATATTGTGAGTCTGATTTATATAACTTTGATTGTACATTTATTGTTTATCAAAATAGATGTTTTCGGATTTTGTATTATATATATATAAACTAAAACAGAATCAAATAACTATTCATTCATTCATCCACTCTTTTTTTCATTATCGTTATTATTATTTTTTTCAAATTATTATTATTTTTTCAGAGTTATATTTTCCGTTGTCTTTAAAGAACAAATAATTTGCTCAGGTTTTATTTTAAAATGATTTATCTTTCATGTAATGAGGTGTTTATATTGTGCGTGTGTATATATATATATAGGCGTGTTGTTTCTATGCATATATGTATATATGTATATTCCATATTTGTGTACAGTACAGTCTCTTCCACATTTCCTCTCCCGCCCCCCCTCTCTCTTTCGCACACCGGTATATCTTGTGAAGACAATATGATCTCGCCTATGATCTCTTGTACAGTAGTTCCAGTATTATTGAATTCTGAAGTAGTAGTAATAGTAGTGTGATGGTGGTTTTTAGACCCTAACAACATCACATACATATGCTACTTCGTGGTACATCAATTGAGAAATCCTGCCTGCCTGTCTGCAGTTTGTTTGTATGTTCAACGCCACGTGATCTGACCTCGTATGGCATTGTTTACACATCAACGCATTCCATTCATAGTAATTACTCACAACAAGTGGATTGTGTTTTCTAAAGATGTTTTAGCATTGCTGTATATATATACAAGAAAGAAGAATGTGGTCGAGGAAGAGGAGGCTTGTAAATTCGTTTCATAATTCCTGAATCTCAAATTTTTTTTACATAAAGTGGAATCTATCACTAATTAATTTATCAAAAGTATTAACAGTAGTGATAAAAATTATGATTTAGTTGTTATTGTCAACTTTTCATAACATTTGCATTTCATACTTTTAATATAATAAAACTTTTGTATTATTTGTAAGAGTACAGCTGTTTTGTAAGACACTAATTGTCGCCTACCTTGACCTTTCTTTCTATTCAATATACTACTCACACACACATACATAGAGAGACATGCACACTCTACTCTATCACAGGCCTTGACGTGTGTGAGTTATCTGCCTGCTGTTACACCTGTAATCGTAAAAATGATGAATTAATACCTTGAAGTTCTTTCGGGAAAACTATTTTGTACATTTTTTTTACCATTCTTCGTATTATTACTATTATTACTGTTATTGTTATTATGACAAAGATTCATTTCTTGTTTTGTTTTTTTATATATTTATATCGGCGTGCTTTATTTTGGCGTTAATCATTCATTGTTTAATTGACATTTCTCAAAATCCGTTTGTTTGTTTGTTGTTGTTGGTGGTTTTGTGCGTTTTTCGAGTGAACCGGACAAGGTTTGGGGGTGGAAGATGTGAGCGAGTGAGTGGGTGGGTGACATGATTGATGACAGTATAGGATAGTGTAGAGTATGTGGTTGCACTTCGGTTGTTATTGCAACCTCCGTTGACTTATTCCTAGTGTATCTTTATTTTGTGCATTTTGAGGAGTAAATGACTCGCGTAGATGTGAGCATAGGGCTTGAATTATTTACATGTCATCGAGTATTTTAATTTAATGTCTCATTCGTGTGTATTCACTGTGAGTTACTCTACTCAGCAGTATGTCTGATTGAACAGTAGTTACCCAGATGAGCTATTTGAGTAGCCAGTATGTAGATAGGGAGTTGGATAGCTGATAAGAGGATCTAGACAAACTGTCCTTTGTAAGCTGCTGCTATGTTGTTGCTGAATGCAAATGGAAATGGAATAGATTTTCCCTGGTTAAATTTTTCAGGGAAATATCGCTCAATTAGTTGACTTAAGTCTGTCTGTCTGTCTGTTTTCGACGTAGAACTTTGCACATATGTGCGGCAGTTCAAGTCGCCACACTCCATGTAGCACACAAAGCAAGAGAAGAAAGTAGGAGAAATGCATAATATAGACAGTAAACAGAGGTGTGAGACAAAGGAATAGCAATAACGGAGAACAAAACAGTTTAATTGGAAATCATAAGTCACAAGGAGTGGATGCATCTGCTCCAGCCACTGAGAACGATTTTGAGCCATGTCACCAATCGTTTCCAACCATTGGTTTTTACCGTCTCGAGGACCCCAACCAATCAGGAAGTCTACACCTTCCTACGTGGCTTAGATAACCTGTTGTGGATTTTATTGACTGGCGTCATGTTTTGGTTTGACCACCCCTAGATTTTGCAACCAGACCTTATGTCAACTTATATACCTCGTTGTCAAGGAAGGCGATGACTAGGCATGCATACGTAACATATGTCCTAACCATCTCAGTCGATGTAATTTCACGGCCTCGTCGATTGATTTCCCCTCCTTACCTAGCACTCGACCGATACCTTATCTCAATATTGCTCACCTTATTATGCCACTTCATACGGGAGATAGAACGCAGACACCTATGATCAAAGACAGCTAGTCTTTTTATTTCTTCCACTCTCAATGGCCAGGTCTCACAGCTAGCCATAAAGGAGGACGGAGCGGACTGATGAGCAGTACACACACCCTTTGGTAGATAGCCAGCCGGATATCACGTCTACTAAGCCAGAGACGGCGTAAACTGGCGTATGCGAAACTAGCCGGCTGTATCCGTGCTTGAGATCTCGTCAGCGATCAACCAGCTGGCACTGGCTGATACAATTTCCCAATTAAGTGAAGTGCTCAACGTGCTCTACCACTTCGCTCCCTATTTCTAAACCTAGAGTCAGTATAGTCCGATCCTGCAGCATCATCTTACATTTGACAGAGGGAGTGAATCGCATGCCAAACATTCGTAGTCTGCAGCTCAAGGTGTTCAGAAGACTGTGCATTTTGTCAGCGTCCTCGCCTAGAAGGACTATGTCATCTGCATATTCTAAGTCAACGAGATTATTCACTGGTGGTAACACGTTAATCCTTGAGTCTCTGTAGTGAGTTAGGGTTGAGTCCATTAGTACGGTATCTATGATGAAATTGAATAGAAATGGGGAAAGTGGGTATCCCTGACGGACACCATTAATTGTCACCACTTCAGATGATAACTCGCCGTAAGCCCTCACCTGGCTAAATGCATGAGTTGGAGTAGAGTGCCTTGACCAGTGCAATGTATTTTTTCGGCATTCCCTTTACAGCCAAGCATCACCAGAGTACCTGTCGGTCGTCAGAATCGAATGTCGCCTTTATGTCAAGAAATATAATGATTGTTGTACGCCGGTAGGAATGCCTATGTTCTAGAATCTGTCGAAGGGTGAAGATATGATCAATACACCCTCTTCCTGGTCTAAAGCCTGCCTGGTTTTCTCGTATTTTTTCCTCCCGAGCACCACTCAGCCTACGCATTATTATTGAGCCTAAGACTTAAGATATCATATTAGTCAAGCTAATCCGGCTGTGATTATCACAGGAAGACTTGTCTCCCTTCTTGTATATGTGGATAATTAGTGACTTACACGAACCCGATGGGACTTCCTCTGATTCCCAGACGCTACCTAGTACCTCAGTTAACGCAGACAGTAAACTGTCTCCATCGTACTTAAATACCTTTGGATTCATTCCATCGGGTCGTGCTGCTTTGCCTCGTTTCAGACTAGTGACAGCCTTAGTAACCTCAGTTAGGGACTGAGGACCTGTGTCTATATGCCATTCAGGGAGTTGTTGGATGTTCGGAAAGTTGAATGTGGCTGTAGACCAATTAAACTGTTCCTCAAAGTGTTCTTTCCAACGCTCTAGTCGTCTATCCCAAGAGCTAATTAGGGCTTCATTTTTCTCGAAAACGGTCTCACTATTCAGTTACCTCCATGTGGGCATGTGGTGGTGTGATACAATGTGTTGCAACGGAATATTATTGTCACATACTCCCACATTTCAATACTGCATTTACAACAGACTATACGTATATACATATTCGTTTGATCAATTGAAAATGTTTGCTTTCGTGCCTTGCCTTCTACTGTTACAACCATTCACAGAACTCCAACGTATCCAGTTTACGGCAGCTGACCGAATCCTGTTTACAGTTTTTCACAAAGCCCTACATTACACATGCTTTACCTTCAGTCACCAAACACCTGTGCAAACTATACGGGTACATTTGAACACAACCTTTAGATCAAAATCACTACAAGTACCCAATGATGGGCCTTATCAATTGAGTTTTCATACGCAAACACTGACAGCCAGTCGACTAAAAAGTGTTAACAGTATTTTTGTTTAACAAGGACCTAACGAAACAGTCTTGGGGATGATTAGCTGCGTTCGATACTTGTATCAGATTAGCCTTTTGAGTATGATGACTAGTGAATACACTAGTACAACTATCTGTGAATTTACCAGTGGCATATATCAGTGTTAGTCCGTAACTTCGTATCAACTAGTCAAATCTACAAACACATAATAATAATAAAAGACGAAATAATCAAGTCCTCCTGAGTTCCTGTGCTCTACTTTCACATACAAATTATTCTTTCGTTCAATATTCTTCCCTAACCCTATGAATTGTAGATTACCTAGACAGATCCAAAAGATGCCGAGCATAATTGGACAGTATTCTACCAAAGTGACGTGAAAGAGTTGCAGTGAAAATAGAATAAAATACCGACGATAAGTAGTGTTACGCTTATCTTGGTCGCAAAAATCTATTCCTTGCAATACTAAGAAATGTGAGAAAAAACATATTGTGAGCTAAATCAATTCCAGTGGCAAACTAAATTCTAATTCAAGCTACATTACATGCACTTTGTAGATATAACAAACTAGGAAGCCTGTATTAGAGAAGGCAGCGTCCTATCTAATGATTGTTGCTCATGCAAACTGTCTCCACCGTACTTAAATACCTCTGGATTCATTCCATCGGGTCGTGCTGCTTTGCCTCGTTTCAGACTAGTGACAGCCTTAGTAACCTCAGTTAGGGACTGAGGACCTGTGTCTATATGCCATTCAGAGAGGCGGTGGCTGTTCGTTAAATTGAGTATGGCTGTAGGCCAATTAAACTGCTCCTCGTAGTGCTCTTTCCAGTCGTCTATCCTGGGAGCTAATTATGGTGCCATCTTCCTCCGAGATTGTTTCACTTATCATTTGCCTTTTACCACCTGTTTCCCTGATGAGCCTAAATAGTTGTCTGGTGTTACCAATCGCCGATGCCTTTTCCATCTCTTTCGCTTTTGTCGCCCACCACTGTTCTCGGTCGTTGCGAAGACTTTTTGTTAGTTTTCATTTAAGAACCTTTCGCTCCTCATCATAATCGGAGCTCGCTGGAATTAGTCTTCTTGCGTCAATCATTTCGAATGAGGCGGTAGAGATCCAGTAGCTTTTACTAACTTTAGGTTTTAGCTAGTTAACAGCTGTGTCTACAGCTAACTAACTGTATGTTGTACCAGGCTACCTCCGGGGAAGTCCTGCCGTCGACCTCAGAAACTCGTTTCGCTATTTCTTCCTTAAATAGGGACTCAGTGTCTCGATCTAGTTGGGGACGTAACTTTTTCACTGCCAGTAATTTCTTATGTCGTAAGCATAAATGTGCGCGAATCAGAGCGTGGTCAGAGTCTACGCACGTGTTCCCAAAGGACCGGCAGTCTTCTACTGACCCTCGCTTATAATACCCTATGGCTGTGTGGTCTATCTGAGTCCAGCATTGACCTGGTGATGGCGGTCACCAGGTTGCACAATGTCTCTATTTGTGCCTAAAGTTAGTGATGACTAGGAACAGATGATTATCTGAGCAAAACTGTACAAGACGATCACCGTTGTCGGTTTGCCGACAGGGAGCTCCATACGTACCACCTACATACTTCTCAATCTGGCCCAACTTCCCTACTTGGGCATTGAAGTCGCTTGCTACAACAATTATATCTGAACGTTTTGGCTTTTGCAGCAAATTAGACAGTTTCAGGTAGAAATCATCTTATAGTTGATCCGAGCTGCAGTCTGTGTGGGCGTAAGCGGAGACTACGAAAAGACAACGATGGGTAACGCCGTCCTTCCTTCTTCTAACGGACCCATTCAGACGGACCGCAAACATACGGCTATCTACTGGGATCCAGTCAAGAAGTGATTTTTCTGCCCTAACACTCAATGTTATCTGTACCTACACCTGCGAGTCCTCGCGAACTAGCTGAGGGGTCTTCTGATCCCCTTAAGGTGAATTTTGCAGATTCACCGTGTTGGTCGGGTGAGGTTAAGTGAATGACCACACTCGGGTCTTGTATGCGTATCTCCGAAACACAACATACATCCATGGCTCTAGATTCCAGAGTTCTTGCTAGTAATGACTTAAGTGCTTCAGCTACATCGAATGACT